AAGATATGTAATAAACTAAATGCATCCTGCAATATACACGTGTAAACATATGTTTCCGACAAATAAGAATTATATTTCTGCCTTTTTAGATGTCAAAAAGAATTAGAAGAAAAAGTAACTGATCTTAATACCAAGTTGCAGACTAAAGAAGATGTTAAGAAATATCACAGTCAGGTTCAAAATATTAGTGACAATATTAAAAAACATCCTAAGTTTGCAGACCACATTGCTTCTAGTTCAATTGGAATAAATGATCAGGAAGTTATTGATGTAAGTTAATAGATCCATAAGTAAGTCAGCACTTTTAAACTAAGAATTTGAACAAAGAGTTTTCTACGGAATATGTAAATATTTATACACATATGAAATTAATTTCATAATAAGATGAAATGAATTATATACGCACATGACAAGTTACAGAGCAATCATGTTGAAATAATTTCAAGTACATGAAAAATTATCATTAAAATTTTTATTGCTATGCAGATTGTATTAGTGACAGATATTGTGGAAAGTCTGCTCTTTGAAAAAGATCTAGAAATAAAAAATTTACAGAAACGTTTAAGCGAAGCGGAATCTAATTTGGCAATAACAGGTCGCGATAGTGATATACGTCTAAATAATTTTAAAACCCATTTGAGTGAGAAATGTAAGGCAATTCAAGAAATGAAAGAGCAGATGGTTATTCGTCAAAAAGTTTGTGTTGCTAGTTGTATTTATATTGTACTTGTGCACAGTAATCTAGTAATAATTTTACTTCTATCAATCGTTAGGAGTCAATAGAAAAGCAAAGTGTTTTAAAAGCTGAAATAAAGGAAAGAGATGAGATAATAATGTCTCTGCAAAAGCAAATGGCTGTATTACAAACGCAATGCCATTATGTAAAGATGCAAAGTCACTTTAGAGAAGATATCATTAAAGAAATGAGAAAAGAACTAAAACAAGCAGTATCTAAGGTACAGATTGCAATTCGTAGATATCGTATATAAATAACGATACTTCTTATTTTCAGTGTCCGTATTCAAACTTGTTTTCTCGTATTTTTGATCATTATAACCAAGTTACAACTGACAATCAGGAAATGGAACTCTTTTATAAATTACGTGAGAAAAACATTATACCGAAAGTAATGTACTCACCCACAGGACATAAAACTGATGTTACGTTTTGGCAAACTTACGTTGAAAATATTATGAATTCCAATAAATTAGCAAAAAATATCTGTACAACGAAAACTAAAGACAATAATTTGACAACTAAAGTAACAAATTATCGTCATAATGCACATTACAATAAAATACATGCACACAAAAATTTCCGCGATATCGATAAAAAAATCTTGAAATACAGCAAAAGATCTATACCTCTTAATGNTATATTTAAAGCACGATATGGTCATAAAGATGAATTCTTTATTTTAGACATGTACAAATAGTAATTTTCAATTTAAATTAATGGATGTACTTGGAATATGTGCTCTCGAAACACAGATCACTTTAGATGATATTAAAGATGAGATGAAAGTGCTTCTTTCTTCTTTTAAATGTAGAAATCAAAAGGTAAGTTATAGATTAAAATTATTATATATTTATTAATTATTAATAATATGATAGCACATTAATAGCATAAAATCTTTGCAGTATGTTGATTTAAATAAAGAAGTTGTGAATGTACAAAATCAACTAATAAAAAGCCGGGAAAAAATAGCTGAAACACTTAATAGATCACAATTAAGAGTAAGAAATATTTAATTATTCAGAACATTTTACTGTTTCTGAGCTAACAAAAGATTTTTGTTCAGGAAGAAGAAAGGATAAGACACAGCAATAGGATAGCATTAGGACAAAATAAATTAAAAGACATGAAAAATGAAGTGAACCTCGTTAAATCTCGATTATCAGCTTATATTACTGATCTACAAACAAATGTATGACATGAACTAGACATTTTTACTACGAATCTTACTAATTTAAGAAGATAATTTATTTCGTCTGATTTTTAGGAAAATGTATCTACCTATACAGAGATATGCATTTGCAATGATTTAATATATTCAGTAATTGAAGAAATAGAGCAGATATCGTCTAGTCTCCAAATATTTCAGGATCAAGTAAAGCTTTGAAATTTTGTGTACTAAACGACATCGTCTTAAAGCATCAATAGTATAAATGTGACATTTTAATTGTTCAAGGGTTACGGCATAACGAAAGATCTAGAAAAATTAAGGAATCAATTTTGTGACGTTGATTCTTTTATACAGAAATTGCAAGAAAAAATAGATGAGGCAGTATGTATATTAATTACTAAAAGCATTACTAGAAGCATATTTATAATTTTACATATATTGTAATTTTGTGTTAAATGTATTACTTGTGAGTTTTATTACAGTTATCAGAACACGATGCAGTAGAAG